ACTTAGCAGTCAGATCAGGAGACATTACATTGGACAAGTCTGCTGTCAGGGGCTTCTCCAAATTACTGAGTAGCAATGATATACACTTGAAGACTCAGGTGCATCTGATACGGCCATGATCTTTTAATCACTTGCTATGTTGGGCCAGTCTTTCATTGTTTTTGTTCAGATATTCCTCTAGGTCATATAGCCCTGGTGTAAAAGTTGCTGTACAGTGGTAACTTGTGGTTGCTGTGAGGCTGAACACTGTGACACTGATGTGTCAAATGTGTTAATGGTGGGTCACCCAATGCTGACAGAGAGCAGGGTAGAGCTCCCCGATTAAAACAAGTTTAGGAGGAGGAGTGGCATCCACTTCTGTAATAGCTTGCTTCCAGAAACCCTATGAACCTGGAGAGAGGATGAAAGATACCCAAGCGTTGAGGACTCCCCTTCATAGGGTCGCTATGAGTCGCATGTGTCTTGACAGCACTTAACAACAATAACAACATGTTGATAGTTGTAGAGGGGCTTCAGGTCTCTTGTTCATAGGGTCGCTATGAGTCGCATGTGTCTTGACAGCACTTAACAACAATAACAACATGTTGATAGTTGTAGAGGGGCTTCAGGTCTCTTGTTCATAGGATCGCTATGAGTTGTGTTCAACTTGAAGGCAATCAACAACAACAACATACATTGAAGAGTTGCACAGTGAATAAAGATGATGGAAAAAGATTTGATGCCTTTGAGTTTTGGTGTTGGAGAAGAATACTGAGTATCCCATGGACTGGAAAAGAACACATAGATATGTCTTAGGAAAAGTGCAGACAGAATGCTCCTTGGAGGGACAAAATTTCAGCTCATATATTTTGGGCATATTACTAGGAGATGCTATTCCTCTGAAAGGGACATCATTCTTGGAAAGATAGACTGTCAGTGAAAGAGCGAAAGACCCTTAATGAGATGATTGACACAGTGACTGTAGAAGGACTCAAGTGTGTTAGAGATGATGAGGATGGCACAGGATAGGACAGGGTTCAGGTCTGTTGTTCATAGGATAGCTATGACTCAACTTGATGGCACCTAACAAGAAACAGCCGCCTTACCTACACTCACCTAAAAATATTGGAGTTTCTTTGATGTTTCTTCATGGATCAACATCATTATCTTCTATTAATCTTTCCCAGAATTAACTATGTTACATTTTCATTTTCAGCTCCAAACTGATGGTATTTTTATACTGTTAATGGTGTGTAATTCTTTCTTAGAAGGGAAGCAAGAGGAAATAGGTTTGCGTATTAGTCAGAGGGATTTTAGCCAAATAAAATGAAAAATTTCCTGGTAGGCAGGACAGTACAACTGACAATGGGTCAATGGTGGGGATGGGTGTGATGTGAAATGTATAAGTCTGGAAACAAACGAGATTCTTATCTGTCTGGAATTCCTTAGACAAAGCCTGTCTGATGAATGGGGCATAGACTTCCAGACCTACAGTGCTATTTCTGCTCTACATAATTGAACACGGCAGACAAACATCAAATGCATACCCATAAGCCGAATCACATAAACAGGAACACTGGCCCAGTGTTTCTTACACAGGAGTGCAGATGGTGTTTGAGGGAAGAGTTATTCACTGCTGTGCAGGTCAGCTGGAACATTGCAGAATGGTTTTCACATCCCTATATGCCTTGAAGAAATTGAATGATGGTCTTATACAATATTTGTGTTTTAGTCACTGCCCTATTTCACCCAGCACAATACCCTCTCATGTTGACAAATTGTTGTTTGTTATTTAGTGTTGCAACTTGTTATTGTTATTGTGTATTATCAAGTTGGAACTGATTTATAACTGCACCAACCCCCAGCCCCTCCAGTGGGTTTTCAGAGGCAGTAAATCACAGCAGAGGTATTTGCCCATCCTTCTCCTGTAGAGCAGCTTGTGGATTCAAACTGCATACCTTAAGAGCTGGCAGCACAATTCCTTCCCACTAAGCTGCCAGAGCTCCTCGTGTTGCAAGTACTCCATTAATATCAAAAGATTAAGGAAGATAGAGTCATTCTTGAATGGTTACTAGGTCTGGGAAGTGAAGGAAAGGTGGACAAAAATTAGTGAGTAGGTAATAACTTATGGATATTGAGTCAGAAAGAAAAAAACAACAAATGTCTTGCAGAAAGTATAACCAGGATGCTCCTTAGAAGCAAGGATGGTGAAACTTTGCCTCATGTACTTTGGACATGTTGTTAGGATAGGCCAATCCTTGAAGAAAAACATCATGCTTGGAGAGTGGAGGGTCAGCAAAATAGAAGAGGACCCTCAATGAAATGGATTGAGGCAGTGGTTGTAACAATTGGTTCAAGCAGATCAGAGATAATGAGGATGACACGAGATAGGGCAGAATATATTATCTGCTGTCCCTGAGATCACTGTGGGTCATAGATGACTCCATGGCACTTGACAACAATAATGACAACATTGAGTCAGAACCACCCAGAGCTGAACCTCCAGTGAGTTTCTATAACTGTAAATTGGACAGGAGAAGAATACCTCTCCTTTCCCCAACGTGGATTGGTGCTGCCAGAGCAGTTAGCCACACAAGTCCATATAGACTACTATGTGAGCATATTATTAAGATGGGTGAGAGGAATAGCAGTAGATGATAGGGATATGATAAGCTCAATATCACTAAAGAAAGGGAAGGTACAAAGACATATAGAAGGGTAAATGAAAATCAGAATTACAAATAGGAGGGAATAAAAGTACAATTTTATTGCAGATATTAAAAGTGATGTTAGAGAACAAAATGTGTGTTGGATAAAAAATGAATTTGCTCTCTAACTTTTGCTCAAAATACAGTAAAAGAAAAAGAAATCAAATAACTTACTGCATAAACCAATCTGTCAAGGACCTTTTAAGTACTAAAGAAGAATGTCACTTTGAAGACTAAATATCTCATCGTACTCATGGGATTTTCAGTTACTCTCTATGCATGTGAAAGTTAAACAATGACTAAGAAAAACCGAAGAACTGAAGACATTCAATTATGTTCCCAAAGATTGTTGAATCTATGATGGACTGCGTAAGGAACAAACAAATTTGTCTTGAGCCCACATACTCAGAAGCAAGGATTCTTAGTATCACACACTTTAGCATGTTGTCAGGAGGAGCAGTCCTTGAAAAAAGACATCTTGCATTTTGCTTGCAAAGTTATAGGATTAGCGAAAGAGAGGATAACCTTCAATGAGCTAGATTGACAATGACTTTAACAGTGGGGCTTTGCACAGCAGAGTGTGTGGGGCTAGTGCAAATTGACAAGGGTTTCATTCTTTTGTTCCCTGGAGGAATATGAGTCAGAGCCTACTCAACAATACCTAATCACAACAAGCCACCCTGCCTCTTTGAGTCCCATTTCATCTGTAAAATGGAAGAAAGCAACATGCTCTTCACAGAAATATGAAGATAAATGAAATCTGAACAATCCAGCACAGGGCATTACAAGCCCAAGAGTTTGTTCGCTTCTGTATAACTCCCTTTTAAACCATTTGTGAATCTGAAGAAATGAAATTTGTAAGCCACTAACTTTTATGAAGGACATTGCTCTAAGTTACTTCACCACAATCAATAATTTCTGCAACTGTGTATTTATTTATAGACATAATGATGCAACTTCTCATGCTGAACAGTAGATGTCGTTTTGTTTTGTTTTGTCTTGTCTTGTTAGGGATCAGAGAAAATCTGTCTCCCTTGTCACTGTTAGTTGTCATTCAGTTGACTCTGACTCATGCAACCTCAGATTCAGCAGAACTAAATGATGTTGAGGGAGCTCTAATGGCTTAGTGCTAAGGAGTTGTGTTACCAACTCAGAGGCACATGGTTCAAATCTACCAGCTGCTCAGCAGGAGAAAAATGGGCAATCTCCTCTTGTGCAATTTCCAGCCTCTGAAAACCCCCTGGAGGGTCAGCTAAGATTGGTTCCAGATGGATGGCACACAACAACAACAAATGTTGTCTGGTCTTCTGCTGCCCTCACAATCACAAGTCTATTTGAATCGATTGTTTCAACTGTTGTGACAATACCTCTCCTTCACCCTTGCTTGCCCTCTACTTCATCAAACGCAATGTCCTCTTCCAGCAACTGCTCCTTCTCGGTGGTATGCAAAGCAAGTCAGGTCCAACAAGCATCTATCGTGATTTGTATTCATTGACAATATTTTTGAATGTATAAACAGATTCCAAGTCCTTACTTTCTACATTCTCTTGGTCTGGAAACTTCATTGAAACCTGTCTATTATGTGTGGCCTTGTGTTGTTGTTGTTATGGACCATCGAGTTGGAACTGACCCATAGTTGGCCCTCAGCAGGTTTTCAGAGGCAGATAATCGCACAGGAGTACACTGCTCATCCCTCGGCTGTGGAGCAGCTAGTGGATTTGAACCACGTGCTTTCAGGATTGCCGCACAACTTCTTGCCACTGTAGCATCCAGCATTATGGCAACATATGAGCCACCACAGTACATCAAACCGACAGCTGGGTGACAACCTTCTTTTTTTACCACTAGCAAAAATCTTTTTTTTCCCATACAATAATGGGACTGTGGTAAGGAAAAACGTTTAGAAAAGAAAAAAGTAAAAAATATAGGAGATAAATCTTGTCTATCACTGACTTTGAGTGCACGATTGAGTGAGGACCAACTCGTTGCCGACCTTCTAGTGAGTTTTCAGAGGCAGTTAATGGCACAAGATTGCCCATCCTTCTCCTGCTCAACAGCTGATGGATTTGAACTGCATGCTTTTGGGATTGGAGCACAGCTTCTTATCGGTAGGCCACCAGAGCTCAAAAATAATATTATTCCCACCAAATACAGAAGGCCGGTTGGCAAGATGACTGAATAGTTATATAAATTATCCATTATACTAGGTTTTGTAAAGAAATGGATAGTTTAATACCACTTCTTTTTTTCTTGGAAAGCAGTGACCAAACCTGATCTTTTTAATAACTAAAAAATGTGATGTGTCTGTTTCAGAAATGTGGAGCTGGCTTCTTTCGTGCCCTATCAGGAGAATGTCTGCCCTGTGACTGTAACAGTAACTCCAATACATGCTTAGACGGCTCTGGATTCTGTGTGGTAAGTTGAGGACATCTGTCATGCTTCACGTATTTCACTGTACATAGAATACTCTTTCTCAATGGTTGAGCTACCTAGGAGCAAGCAGATAATCAAGCTTTTCCTACCCTTCATCCTTTTTCCCGTAAAATCCATGCTATAAACTCCTCATGATTGTAAGGGGTTGTCAAGGCCTACGTGCGAAGGAGCTCCCTAGAGTAAGTCCTCCCCGTCCTCAGCAGCTGGTTTCCTGCTGTAGGCCCGTGGTGATGAGAGTTGGAAATAATGTGCAGAGAAGGAAATCATCCATCCAAATTCCTCCGTAATAGTATAGTTCACCATATGTTTGGCTTCTTGCCACAGAAACCAGGGGAATAAAATAGTTGTTTCATGGCTTACTTGAGAACGTAAGGTAATCAGGTCTATAGACTGAAATAAGGGGCAGGAGGGAAGTTTACGTTTTTGAACCAAGTAACTAGCAAAAATAAAGTTGTGACCTTGTGGTATTTGTAATTTGTTATTTAAGCACTCAAGAGACTTTTCTGTTCCCTTAACTGGAATGAATTCTTCACTAGAATGGTCTTCAGTGAAGCATTAATAGAGATTTATAAAAGAGCTGAAGGAGCCTTCCAGCAGGGATGTGTTTTCTACATATGTCCCATTTTTTCTCTGAAAGGACCAACAACTTCATAAGAAAAGATTTTTTTTTTAATTTCCATTCATTCATTGTTGCACATTTGTCCCCTCCCACGGCTCCCCCCACTCCCAGAACACAACCCTCTTGGAAAAGTAAAAGAAAAATTCTTTCATTGTTTTACAAACCCTCCCTCAGGTCCACTCCACCATGTAGCCATTGCTCTAGACTCCTGTCATGACAGAAATACCTAATCACATATCTCTTTTAAACAGTTTTCTCCCTCCTCTGTTTCAGTGCAGTATACATTACTGAACCCATCTTACTCAGTCTCTCCACAATCCCAAGGTCTGTCCCATTCTACAACAGTGGCACCATGCAATATTTGTCCTTTTGTGGCTGGGATATTTCACTCAACATAATGTTCTCCAGAGTCAAACATTTTTAATAATATTGTGTGAGTTCCTTGTTTTTCAATGCTGCGTAGTATTCCATTGTGCGAATACACCACAGTTTCTCTATCCATTCGTTTGTTGATGGGCACTTAGGTTGTTTCCAACTCCTTGCTATTGTGAACAAAGCTGCAATAAACATGGGTGTGCATATATCTGCTTGGATGTCAGTTATGGTCTCTTCAGGGTATATTCCCAGTAGTGAAATTGCTGGGTCAAATGGTATCTCTATTTGCAACTTTTTGAGAAAGCGCCATACCGCTTTCCACAGGGGTTACACCATTTTACACTCCCACCAACAGTGAATAAGGGTTCCAGTTTCCCACAACCTCGCCAGCATTTGTTGCTTGCTGTTCTGTTAAATTTTGCTATTTTGACTGGGGTGAGATGATATCTCATAGTTGTTTTAATAATAAAATATTTTAAAACCGTTTCCAGAAATGCTTTCAGTAGAAGTCATGTTGTTGTAGAGTACCATTGAGTCAGAACTAACTGGTAGCTGACCCTCCAGTGGGTTTTCAGATTCAGTTAATCGAAGGGAAGAAGATTGGCCATCTTTCTCCTGCAGAGCAGCTGGTGGATTCAAACTATGAGCCTTTGGTACTGCAGCAAAGCTTCTTACCACTAGGCCAAAGCTTCCTGTAGAAATAAATCATAGAAGGTACTCTGTGATCTTTTTTTTATTAATGAATTATTTTGATAGTTGCTCCTTGAGGCAAAAGAGGCTTTCAAGAGCTCCTGGAGTATCTCTGCATAAGCTACATGAATACTTGATTGAATACACCTATTTACCTCAAAATTAGCATCATTATCCCTATTAAATAGATCACTTTGACTGTGTGACTGTAAGAAGCCTCCAAGGCATGGACATGAAGGCACCCCTCCTCTCTTTTCTCATTTACTGCATTAAAATGCAAAGAAGAGCTTATTTCTTTGAATCTAGGAGTTGTCATTTTTCTAGGAACAAAGAGAACTGAGTGGTAAAACACCAAATGTATCACTTTGTAGTTTTTTGTTTAGTCTTGATATTTCTTGTTTTCCCCTTCTCCTGGCTTTTTAAATAGCCATTACATACAGGATGTCCTCTATTGTGGTGTAGGCAAATGCAGCTGCTAAAGTCTAGCCCTTTCTAATGCTTCTATCTCCGGCTTCCTGTTATTTTAATCCCAGTGACACTTTGGGAGAAAAAAAAAGTGTGCGTATGGATATATGTATATCGATATACACTTGAATTAATAATTTACATCTCTGGTAATCTGACTATTAAAGCCAATTTATTATCAGTTTTATTAACATATGAGTCCAAAGTGTCTGGTAGGCTCATCAGCTGCTATTACTCAAGTAGTAAGAAGAGGGAAGACCGAGCTCAACCAAAGCGGACTAGAGGGCTTCCTACCAGTGTTTATGGGGAGAAGTGGCAAAGCCACTCTCCCTTCCAGTGAGGTTGTCAGAATGGGGCAATGATGGCTTCATCTTTGAGACATGTTGGCTAGGAGCTGAGTGCTGATCCCTGCATGGCCAAGGATTAGGAAAATGTAACAATGAGGCAAATTTCAAGAAGTTATTGAAACCCAGTGCCCACAGTAAGCTACAGGCATGAGAAAGCATTCGTGTGGAGCCTGCTGCTTATTTGCTGGTTCTAAGAACTGAGAATGCTTGCTGGGCATTTCATCCCTGTGAGGGTTTATGAATTTGAAAAGAGGCTGTGGTTCTGTTAGATGGTGCTATGAAGTTGGGGAAGAGGTAGGTGCAAACCATGGCTATAAGCAAAATCTTTGTTGAGTTGGAAAAATGCAGACTGTTCACCACAGGTTAGTAAATAAGCACCAGTAACCTTGCTTCTGGGTTAATCTTGACACTGCATTTGAGAAAGATGCGGCAGTCTGCTTCCTTAAAGATTTACAGCCTTGGAAACCCCAGGTGGGCATTTCTACTCTGTACTGTAGGGTTGCTATGCATCAAAATCTATGCAAAGACAAGGACTGAGTTTGGAAATGCATTTCTCCCATTTTCCACAAACAAGCAAAATCACATTTTGCTTTATTTTGCTTTTATTCTGAAGGCTAGCAATGCCTCTGTATCTGTTTTGTCCTCCCCGTCTTTTACTAATTCTTCCTCAATTCTAATATCCAGTTTCTGCTTGTCCTTTTACTTTATAGACTTATTTTTAAGTACTAACCAATTAAGCAACACAACCTAGAGTAAGCAAAGTAATGCTATCGTTTTAGTTGTATCGAACAGCCTACATTTCTTCACAAGAGAAACACTAACCCTTAAAATTCAGAAAGACAATGAAGTTAAAAGCAGCTTAATTAATAAAATCTAACATGTATTTGGTATCTTCCTAAGGTTCACTTTGCATCTTACTAGAACAGGAGCACAGTGGACAATGCTTTCACTTGGTCAGATAATCAGGGCTCAGAGTAACCCTGATAACATTAATGAACAAGGTGTCCTCTCCAGGAAAATTCTAGAAGGAGACACTGAAAATAAAGTGGATGGAAGAAAACAGAAGGAAAAAACCCAAGTGACTCATGGTAGGAAGGACTGGTTATAGGTAACCAGATTTTATTCCAGAATCTAGACTGTAGGCACAGACAATGAAGAATGTCCATAACTAAGGCCAGTTACTGTCTAAAAAGAGTTGGGTCTCAGTAGTTAAGGAGAAAATTAGAAGTCTATTGGCTTTGTCTTGGAAAGGCTACTGTTGGAATGCTTCACCTCACATACACTGGACATGTTGCTCATTGAAGGTTCTATTCCTTGGAGAAGAACATGATGCTGGAAGCACTGGAGGGTCGGTGAAGGAGAGGGAAGACCCTCAGTGTGCTTCAATGGGCTCTTGTGTGCCAGGAAGTATGAGGATGGTGCAGGAAAGAACAAGGTTCAGATCTTTTGCTCATAGGGTCACTATGAATTGTGCTCATTGAGACAGCACCTAAAGGCTAACAACATTGGCAAGAACCAGAGTGAAGGAAACCTGACTTGAAGTTTATCACTAATACTGGGCTCCTTGAGTACCTCTAGATTAATGTGCTTGTTGAGCTCATATATCTATTTAACATATGGATATTTATTAAGTGTCACATAGACATTTAGTGACAGACATTATTCGAAGCTCTAAGTAGTTCCCATTGTGCGGGCCAAAAGGCTGAACTCCTATTTGAAAATATTTATGGACGTTGCCAACATCCTAAAGCTCCTGGTACTAGGACTATATATAATATCTTTACAAATGTGCAGAATCTTCAACTGCTCCATGCAAATACAGTATAAACTAAAAAGGAAATTTAGACATCTGTGCAAACCTTGCAGAAAAACACCTAAATATTCATTGAATATTGAAATCATTAAAAGACCTAAAAAAAAAAGAATGGAATTGAGGGAAACCCACCAAATCATTAAATATTTACATCCAGCTCAACGCTTAGTGGCTGTGAGTCAGAACCAACTTGATAGCAGCAAGTTTGAGGTTTTAACTGGAAATATGAGTGAGATTTATTTTCTTTGTATTTTAGAATATGCCAGCCAAGATTTTTCTGCAGCTATTTGTGATAATTTTGTCATTAAAAAGATAGATTGGCATGACATCATTTCTAGCTTTTTTACATTTGATATGTTGCTTAATCTACTTCTAATTTACTTCTCTGAGCTTCAAAATCACCATCTGTAAGTGAGAGATGTTAACACTTTAATGGAGAACAAATAGTAAAACTCAGTAAATGTGAGTATGTGTGTGTGTGTGTGTGCAAGCGTGCATTCAAATACCCAACCTTAAATTCAGTGGAGTAAAGAAGCAATCCGATATATTAAAGGATAATGAATTTTTATGAGTTTTAGAACATAATTAAAACCCTATCAGAAAAGCAACAATATTACATGTTTAATTTCTGCAAACAGCAGTGTTTTCCTCATGATTGTTAAATCCTCCTTTG